CATCAGGTTAAATGAAATACTTTTTTTCCTACTCAGCAGCTGAACTCAGGGCTTGACTCCCATTCCTACCTCCTTCATTAATTCAGTTTCCCTTTAGGAAAATGCCTGGGGTGTGCTTCCTGCTTACCATGGCAACTGGCATACAAATTGAGAGAGAAAACCATGTTTGTTGAACTCTGGAATTGTTGTTAGCCAGAGCCAATTATCAGTGTGCTGCATGAGAACCAGTATTTTCCCATTCTTTGTGCCACAGTCTCGCAATGACTTGGCCATAAGGCAAGGAGAACCTCAGACTGCCCCACAGCATTCCCATGGTTATGAAAATTAGGCCAAAGGGACACTGCAGACCTGCTCCTGCTGCAGTTGGCACTGTGCACCGAATCAGGGTGTTTAAACACATGGAAGTGCTTGAACACTCTTTCAGCCAGTTTCTTTTGCCTGCCTGACTCAGGGCAATACCCTGTGGAAGTTGTATTGGAAGCCACAGCTACAACATTTTGGATACTTTCAGCTAAACCAAAACCAGGATTAAGCAAGTTCCCAACCTGGCTGTTAACCAGGAATCAACCTTACCCAGCACCAAGGAGCATTTGACACCGGTGTCTCGTACATCCCCACTGCAACACAGGAGTCCAGCAGCTCTGGGCAGCAGGACATCCCCCTGGTATCCCACTGGACGGGGCTAAAGGTCAGCTGGCAGCAAAGGGGAGGCAGGCAGTGCAGGAAAGGGAGACTGGCACAAGGCACCACCACCAACAAAAAGAACAGAATCATAACAGCCAAGGTAGGGAAAGGCAGTGAGATTTCTGAGTTCATTTTCCATTTGGACAGGATAAACTATTCAAAGGACGTGCCTCGCCACAAGGGTAAAGGATGAACAGTTTCAGTGTTAAGGATTAGAAATGAATGGGATCTGCAAAGCTCAGATCTGCCCGAGTCCTGATGCCCTCAGAAGTTAGACACAGTGTGAGTGTTAAAACTTGAATGTTTGCCTCACTCCATAATTAAACGTACTTTCATGTCTTATTAGCAAACTGCAGTGTAAGATGAGCTACATTTTGCAAACTTAGAAAACTCCTAGGAATTATGGTTGCATTTTGGGTCCAGATCCATCTTAAAATGGGACCTGTTTTCTTCCACAGCACATCTGCTGCAGAGGGTACATTTCTCAGTCATTTAAATTCCTTATCTGAAAAGACCAGGAATTATTTGAATTCAGTGAGAGGAAATGACTTCAAAAAAAACTTTGTAGCTGCTTAAGAAAGAACCACAAGGCACGTAAACATGGGAACAACCAGAACTGGAGAAAGGAGAATAACACACATGATGATTATTCAACAGAGGAATTTTCTAGATAAGTGAAACCCAAAAAGAAAAAAGAAACCCAGCACCCAATAGCCATGAGATTAAATTGAACCAGTCTGAGGAATATCAGGTAACGTTTTCTTTTCCTCTTCCTTCACACGGATCAGGAAGAAGAAATCAGAGAAAATAGTCCTCACAAACTGCTTTGCTCTTTTTTTTTTTTTTTCTTCATTGTGAGATAATTTACTTTAAATATCAAGGGTCAGACAGTAGAAAAGGACTAGGCTGGTTATTTACAGGGTGACTTGGACTTACAGACTCCAGCCTCTGTGCCAGCCATGGTACCCTGCTAAAGGTGAGCATTGTTTTGGGAAAAATAGAGAAGTCCTGCATTGGCTCACAGTTAGCAACAGCCCTGGGTGGCCAGAGCAGCTCACTGCTTATCGCTTGTCTCTCTTGCAGGGTTTATCTCAACTGGTGATCATGCAAGAACTGCACATGACCTTGCCCGTGATGTAATTTTACCTTGGAAGCAAGTCAGAAACACCTTCACCTTTTTTCCTGTTGAGGATCAACCCTCAGCAGTCATAATCCACTCCTCCCAAAGCAGGATCTCCTAAAGATGCCTGAGATTGCAGGGAGAGCTCTTGCAGGAGGTTCCCAGCATACCACACGTTGCAGGGGATTTCCCCAGTTGCCAAGGAGGGCAGGGCTGCCAAGGGTTGGGAGGAGGAGGATTCATTTAGGAGCTAGTTTTAGGTCATCGGTCCCAATGAACATTTGCTTGGCATGAGTCCCTGTTGCAAGGAATGTGAAAAACTAAGATGCCAGGGCAGTGAGCAGGAAAGGGAATAAATCACCCACGTCAGAAGATACAGAACACCACTGCCAGCCTGGTTCCTAGTTTTCCCACTGAGGTGGGTAGCCAGATGTACGTATGGCACATAATGGCCACTGTATATCGTACATTAACCAGCAAGGTGAAGAAAAACAGGGCCTGAAAGGGTCTGCGCAAAGAGGTCTTGTGCAGAAGAAGTGAGGGGAAAGGAGGAAGGGGTAGGAAAACTTAATGGAAAAATGGGGGTTGAGGCACAAGATACACCATGGCAGCCCCACAATGCCCCATCGCCTGAAGGAACAGACACCTTCAGTACTGCCAGCAACAAACATTCAGCGGTGTGAAAAACACCAGGTTACATTTCTGTGTGCGGGGGAGGGCAGCATGTGGGATTCTTTTTGGATTGGAGGACACAGCACTCCATCAGCTATGAGCAGAGGGCGCTTTCAGCCAGACTTGTTTTCTCAGAGCTGGGAGTATTGCAATAGGTTAATAATCTAAAAATACATTTGGTAACTCCATGGGAGAATAGAAGTGTGCTTTTATTGCCACGAAAGAACTGTGAATATTCACACCTATAGAGAATAAATACACAGAGCAAATCTGCAAACAAACCAAATGACTTTCACCTGCAGCATTTTTTTTCTTCATCCTGTCTTAGCAGGATGTCTTAGTCCAGCAGTTCTCATGCACACATGCATGTTGCCTGCTCTGAAGACCACATACATCCATGCCTTCAGGAAGCAATCCAAACAGCTGAGAATGACCAGGATTTTTTTACAGGTCTCAGCTGACACATAAGCCTGGTCACCACCATTCCTGTCACAGATTCCATTCTTTCCTCACCCTTTCCCTGGCACCCCAGGTAATTTCAGAGGGTGAAGTCAACCTTCAGAAGCACAGCTTTTTCTGATTTTTCAGCAGGATTTTTCATGACCATGATCACATCATTCTGTCATCAGTCCAATCCTCTCCTTCCCCCTTAGTTCAGGCAGATAAACCTGGGTTTTTCTGGATGCCCTGTAGCGTGTTTGGCACTTCTGCACAGATCCACCACTGCCTGGATCTCTTGGTCAGCTTTTATTTTTTTAGTACACAAATCAAAAAGTGCAATGGGAGGAAAAGGCTTAAGAAGCAGAAAGCAAATTTGAAGAACCGAAAATGAATTGACTTGAGCTGCCATTTATGTAATAGGTCAATGGTATAATTTGCAACTGGTTGGAACAGTTAATACTGCAATAGTACAATTTAAGTATTGCCAGTTTCTCTTCTCCTTCAAAATCCTGCAGCATTTTCCTCTATATTAAATGCCTTGCTGTAATCATACCACACTTAGATGGAGCAGAAAGGTCTGAAGCAAAAGACCAGAGGAGGAAAATGATATTTGATCTTCCCTACTTCTGTGGTCCTACAGTTTTCTCCAGGCAGAATGACCAGTGACATCCATATTCACAAGACCTCACTAGCCTCTGGAAGGTCCCACAGCCAGGTGTTTCACCCATTTGCAGAGCTGCTTGAGTTTCAGAAAAAACTCAAGCAAGAGGCCCTTATGCAGGAGGGCAGCTATCCACGACCAAGAGTTATTGGAGGCGTTTGGCTGAGCAAGGACAGTCTCTGTGCCTGCCATGTCCTTCCTGCTCCATTTCTCTCCTGTCTGCTGTTGCAGTTAGCAGGAATTTGCAGTTTCTGGCAAGTAGCAGAGAACCTAGTCATTGCCATTGCTCCCTAACTTTGGCAGATACTGATTCTCTTTAGATTTCTTTACATTTAGGTATTACTGTAGCTTTCAGTAGCATAAACATAAAAACACCCAACCCTACTGATATCTTGTCAAGGTTGACCTAGAACAGAGCTGGATGGAGTTAAAGAATAAAGTAGGTATTTATTAAAAGGCCTCAATGGATCCACCTTGGTAGTACAAGAACCCAGCCAGGGCTACACCCAAGATGAACCAAAATGGTCACAAAAATGGACAACTGGTCACCGGGTCTCACACATTTATAAGTTCTGGTTCATTTGCATATTGGAGTTAATTGTCCAATTATAGTTTTAGGTTGTAAGTCCCATCCTTTCTTTTTTTTTTTTTTTTTTCCTCTCTTCAGTCCACGTTGTTTATGCTCTTGGGCCTGAAATTTGGGTTCGTTGTCCTTGGTCCCAAGCTAGAAAAAGAATTGGTTTGTCTAGCTGTTCTGTGAAGAGAGCTTACCATCCCTTAATATGAAGTTCAGAACTACACACTAAAGCAGTACAGAATCTGAAAAACATAAAAGCTAAAACCTAAAGCATCACTACCACCAAACCTTCCCCTCACCCCCTTGAGAACCAAAATTTAATCACTGACATACACAGTCTGCATGGTCAATCCATGACTCAAGTCTCAAAACAAAAGTGCTGAAGACTAATTTCCTTATGGAATTTCTCAGAGTCCAGAGTTTCCAGGACAGTCACCACATCCCTGAATCAGGGGAGTGGCTGATCCGTGAGGACTGTCAGTTCTGAAGGCACAGTCATACGGAAAACTCCTTCTGTGTTGCAGGGACCCAACCTTTCTTAATCACTTTACCCTTATATCTGCCTCCTCCTCTCCCTCAGCACTCTGGCAAGGAACTATTTGGCTGCTGAGTTTCTGTAGCTGCATCTTGGTGCTTTAGCATCTCTGTTACAGGATGTAAAAGCCTGTCATTGTCCTACCCCACATGTCCCAGACGCAGACCTTTATTATTTTCCCTTCCCACAGACACAATCTTGAACAAGAGAAAAAATTCACTTCCATTTCTTTTTAATTAGTATTTTGGTGAATATACAAAAAACAAATAATCAAGGCAGATGGCAAGCATCAGGACATGAACTAGTACCTCTTTGGAAGAGGCTTCACCTTAAAACACTCTACAGAGGAGCACACTTCTCACAATACATTTAACTATTGAAGCGTTCACTAGGAAAGACACCAGCTCAATCCAGGCCAGAGTAAAGAGCCTTTATTGAACTGAGTGAAAACTGCAAGCACTGATGCAAGGACTGGTTTGGTTCAGTTAGCTCCTTGCTTGCATTTTTTCACAAGAGTTACTCACTGCCATTATTTGCCATTTGTCCTACCTGATCCAGGGATGTGGAAGGGGAATGACACAGCGGGTGTGACCATTTACACACAGGTAGCTAAAGCAAGAAGCACAATAAACCAGGAGCGTGGAACAGCCACATTTGCAAAGGCAACTACAGCACAGAAGCCCCTGTGTTCTGCACAAATTCTAGCCCACAGATGTATGAAATCTTGTGCAAAGTACATAACAACTTTCTTGAAAGAGTTGCTTGCTAGCAAGCCGAGCTTTTCCTGGACTGGCACTTCTGAAGGTAGGAGCACATGCAGTAGTTTCATCAGTGACAGGAGGTAGGATTGCATATAGGCAGCATATTGCTGAGGAGCGAGCTAGCCTTTTATTGGGCTTGACTAGCAAAAGATTTTCTATCTGTGACATGTTTTTATTGCTGACATACTTAAATGCTCAGAGAATTTGCCTTATTCTAAGGCAAGGGTGACAGAGACCAGCAAGAGAAGTTGATCAGTAGAATATAACAGAGAGATCTGCAGTCTTTTCCCTTGCAGCATCTGTTCTTATTGGTCACAGGAGGTTATAGTTTTGCTCCCACAGCCCTTCCTGAAGCATTATCATTTAAATTTGAACTAATTTTAGAGAGACATTTTTCTGGACCAATGTGTATGGACATTTTCTTTTCTGATGTCATCAGAGAACAAACCAGATCACTTCTTTTCTCATCTTATGCTCCAGGATTTCTTGCACAGTGAAAGAAGGATTGTGCTTCAGCCAGGAGGCATTAAGGCTGCAGAACAAGGGGCAAAGCAGGGACAAGAAGATTCTTTCCTGCAGTCATCAGTTCTTTGTGTCAAGTTTTTGGAGGGGCAAAAGTATATATGGGAGAGGTAGTGGGAAAACTTCAAATCCTCCATGGCTTGAGGAGAATGAAGCTGGAGACAAACAAATGCAGTTTCACATGGCTCTTCAGGACAGCACTGAGGACACCAGGCCTTCAGTATTCAATTCCACTCCAGTAGAACATGGTGCCAAGGAGGACACAGAACTGAAATGACAACACTATTAAGTTTCTCTGCCCCCCATTTCCTGCTGTCCACCCCTCCCCAGCCCCATTTAGTCGTACTGGTGGAGAGAGTAAAAGAAATTCTTCAAAAGCAAAGCCTGTTCAGGCAGAGGATCTTAAAGTTTTTTTATCTGCGCAGAATATACGCAGCAAAGAAAGAAGATACGTGCAGCTATAACTATTTGACTGTACCACTCTGCTCACTGGGGATTATCTCTCATGAAGCTGCTGAACCCTGAGTACTGAATACACTCATACAAAATCTTCGAACTACAAACTCAATTATCTATTGTGATGATCCAATACCTTTCACAAAGAAGAATCTGCAAGCTGTGTTTGCTGTGTTGTATTGCTGAGATGCCAGCAGGTCACAGCACACCATGGCAGGTTGGAAAGCCATCTAATTCCTCACCTCTGGAAGCCAGAATGGAGGCGAACTTGTAAATGTAGCCCTTAGTGGAGCAGGCTACAGTCAGATTTGTGATGAATGAATGACGATAATCTATGGACATTTTAAATGCCAGTGCTGTCACCCACCTCCACCCAACTGGGTGTGGCATAGCAAGAAAAGAGAAGAGGAAATAAAGGCAAATATTAAGTACTTACAGTCCAGCAGAGGATGGCAAAACCAAACCAGGCAACACCCCAGGCATGTGCATTCATTGGCCCAGAAATAGCATCGTAACAACCCTGAAAGACAACCAGCAATGACTCAACACCAGCAATGAGCCTGCACTGCAAGGTGACAAACTTATCCACCCCTGAGAGAGACTGAGGTGGCATGGTGGCATGCTCATCTCCTACTGCAAATTGGGTAGCTCAGAGGGTCTCAAAAAACCAAGCCAGAGCTACACTGCTTATTTATAATTTGCAGATAACCTACCTGTTTCTGGCTCCAAATAAAAAGTAGACCCATCTCAAACACTTCAAGGACAACTTGCTGTGCCATCCACTTGTCAAGTACACTTAGATAACCAAATACAGCTGATACAGAACTGACCTCCAGAGTCAAGAAGCATCAAGAAAATTTGGAAGCTTGAATGCCCTCTATAAATGCAAGCTAGTGCAGGAGCTGATGCTCATGACCTAACAACCTCATAAATAGGACACAATGGTCTATTGAAAAGTTCTTCCTTGAGGAGGAGAACTGCTGATTTGCCTACTCATATTGTATACTCTCATCTTTGGGCTAAGTTTGATTTAGCTACTGTCCATCTACGTGCTAGAGATGTTGCCTCTTGTCAGTGGCTTGGGAGATTTCTCTCTCCATCAGGAAAGACTTTATCCTAAAAAAGATTCCTGTCCTGTTCATCAACATGGCCAGGGCTCTACAGGCATTTCTTCTCCTCCAGAAAGCTTTTGGACACCTGTAGCTCACAGTGAAGGAGAAAGGCTATTCATGGGTTTTTTCCCTTTCCAGCAAGGCACTGATGTATGCTAACTGGAAAAAGCAGAGATGACCTTACATTGCTGTTATAGTAGCCAGACACTCCAAGTTTGCAGCCATCAAGGTTGACAGGAAGCCCATTTGCATCCAGGACGCAGCACGTCCGTGGCCAGGGGTAGTCGGCGTCGCTGTGCGTGAGGCGGAAGGCAGACGTGTACTCCTGCCAGTCGGAGGGGCCGTTCACCCCACAGCAGTGGTTCTGCAGGGACAGAGAAGGGAAGGGTCTTTGTGGGCCCAGGTCACAGCCCTGCACATGTCAGGACGCCGGTTAGACATTAATCACAGATTTATGGGGGAGATTTTTGAAGTGCCCGCCTTTGACAGTCTGCCGTCTGATAAACGAGCTAAAGGGGGAGTGTGTCAGAACTTTCTTTAAGGTTCAAGGCAGATGCCATCCTCTTTATTATCCAGCAGCCTCAAGGAGGACTTGAAATTCCAGGCTTGCAGAGCATTTAGTAATTAGTGACTTTTCAGTGTTGTTACCTGACGCATGAGTTCATCCCATGTCTTTGTGATCTCATTGTCACTGTTATTGGCTGGCTCTGACTTCTGATATCTCTCCAGCATTTGCTTCAGGAAGAACTCTGGAGTCAGCTACAGAAAAAAACCCCAAAAACAACAACAGAGAAAAATGCAGAAACTATGTAAATAAGTGGCCATGTAAAGCAAATACAGGGTTATTTGGGGAGGGTTTGTTTTCTTGTTTCAGAGTCCTGCTGGAGAACAGGAATGTTGCTTCTCCTCTGGTTTTACACATGAGAATAAAGAGCAGGATTTGAGGAGCAGGAGCAACAAAGATGAAGATCTCAAGCAGGCACTACTAGATATATATCACAAGAGCTGTGCAGAAGCTATGGATTGCATTTGGTATGTTGGAACTAAAGCATCACAAATAATTTCCCTCCCTATAGTATCTCCAACAATCCATGTAATCTTTCCCTCACTAGTAACGCTGCCTGGGGCAATGCTGAAGATTTGTCTTCTCTGTGTATGATATATTAATCACTTGGTAGCTGAAAGACTAAACACTGTATGGATGATTCAACTAACCCACGCTATTATTTCCTTAACCACAAGGTGTTAAACATTTTAAAATGTTAAAAATAACAAAATTATGTTAGAAAAAACAAAGCTATTTCTTTGATCTGAATAATGATGTTGGAGTTTTTCCTTGTGGGGTTGTCTTCTGCTCAGCAGTAGTCCTGTGAGTTTACACTGTATTACCATATTTACTATGCTGAACAGGGTGACTGTGTGCCCTAGAACTTGTGTTTCCCAGCAAGGTTAAAAGAATACATGAGAAAAGAAATACTCACTGAGTCTTGGTGAGTTGCTGCTGTGATGCACGAAGCCATTTCAAATGCAAAAGTGATCAGCATCAGAATGATGTACTGTGGGAGAAAGAGAGCAGAATTAGTTCTTGGAGAAACAGTTCAGCATTTTTTTCAAGATTAAGCTGGAAACCCTGCTTGATGCAAAGGTGGCCAGGTATCGTATTCCCTCTCACCCAGCCTGAATGTTCTCATAGCCCTTCCCTGTGCTTGTTCCAATTTGCAATCTGCTTTCTTGAAGGTGAATGACTGGGATTGTTCTCCATCTCACAGACAAGATTTCATCAGAACCTCATGGCATTAAGACTACCCTGCCTCCACGGAAAATACTTTGTCCTTTTCTTTGTTGCATCTCACTGGCAACCTATGTTCATGTCATGTGTCCTCCTTTCACTTCCACTTGCCAGCTCTAAGCTTTTCAGCAGGAAGCTGTTCACTCCTAGCAGGAGAGATTGTACTTTGGGGAAAGGGAAGGTGCAGCTTAGGGCATCATTCAGATCCCTCTGATTTTTCATCATCAGATTTCCTGAACACTCCTATATTGTGAGCAAAGATCCCTCATGAAAACAGATTACAAGGCTCGCCTCTCACAATCTCCTTCACTCTTTTGTTTCCCTTTCCACCATAATCCCTTTGACAGTTTCCATATTTTCTTTGGAGTTCTCATGGATCTGTTCCTCCTCCCACATTTTATAATGTTCTTCTCTGATTTAAAGCATTTTTTTCCTACTTATGCCAGCTTCTGTCCCTTGTACCCTCTCATACATCCTTGGCTTTCAGCCAAGACACCAAAATTCAGAGTTAAGGGAATTCTGTTTCCTCAGCTGTTTTCTGGCATATTCCCTGGCTCAGGAGTTCCAGTCTCTGAGTGCCTCTTGTCTAAAACAGACACCCTGCAACCCCAGAGTAATCCACAAGAGAGCTCATTTCAGAGTTTTCATCTCTACCCTTCATTAATGCAAACACCAATTAAGTTTTGCCAATGCCATACTAAACGACTAAGGAAGACATCGTACAGAGATTTGTCTACATCTTAACATTATCTTTGGCTTATCCAAAGCTCTGTCCCCACCCCTGTAATTTCTGCCTGCCTGCTGATGTCTTATGTTCTTCATTGCACCCATATTTGGTATCCTGACACTTACTAATGCCATGTACAGAAGTCATTACTTATCAGCTCCTAAACTGAATAGCGTATGACAGCTGAAAAGGGGTGGGGAGAAAAAAGGATCTAAACCACATCCCAGCTATATGTGATTGCACAAGTGCTCCCACATTGCTTCAGGGCAAGGTCAGGGTCAAACCAGTCAAACCTTCACTGTGGCTATCTCCATTTATTCCCTCAGCCTGGTTCGGGAGCTTCTTGGGCATGAGTCTTCACAGGAGTCACCTTCTGGGACATCACAGCCATGATCAAGAGGAACCTTTGGCTCTTTATCAGTATCAAAGTTGTCTTTGCTCACTGGTTGTTTCCCAAGGTGACCAGGGACACCAAGGCAGCATTTGTCCAGTTTGGCAGCAATAGGAAGGTAAATTTTGCTACACTTACCACCAACAGCAAGGTCCTGCTGGCCTTAATGACTCCAATGATACCAAGGATAGACAGGGCAAAGAGTGCAAGGCCAACAAAGATGCCAATCCAGGCAGCAGCGTAGATGTCACTGTTTTCTGTGGCTTTCAGCAGAGGGGAGGGACCATGGGGGTTAGACACAACGTAGATACACTCTGCTGTCAGGGCAATGCCACACATCTGGGAAGCACAAGAAACCCATTAGTTCAAGGTTCCCCAAAGAAATAGCAAAGACAGAAACAGGTGTAGAGTGCTTTCCTTTAATTCAGTTTCCTGCCAAGTGAGGGGCTACACAACTCCCTCTGCCCAGCTCTACAATCTCTTGTATTGGGACTTCACAGAACAATTGCAGGCAAATCTCACCCAGCCTTGATCTGAGAGGTCAGGCCTAGGACTTGAGGATGTTAAGAATTAACAGAACCATTCCATCACTATATGGAGGGAGGTGGCTGGAAAAATGTTGGTCTGCTCCTGCTGATAGTTCTAAGGCTTTTCCTCGGCAAACATCTTGGTATTGTGGATATCTGCCCCTGCTGTCCCTTTCCCACCCAACTGATCATCTAGGACAGCTCTCCTTATCCTCTTCTCTCATGCTTTACTGGACCGTGTATGTGTGGACTTCACAAATGAAGAGGGAGAATTGCTGTTTTAAGAAGTGTCATACTGGAAGAAAGCCTCCACCCATACTTGTTCCACTTCACTTACCCCAATGACCACATTCCCAAAGACTAACAGACCCTGCAAGATGTGTACGCAATCATCACTTTTTGCCATCTTTAATTCTTCATGCAACCTAGAAAACAACAAATACAGTCTTCAATTAAGTCATCGGTACAACGTGCTTCACTCAGAAACAAAAATTATCCATGAGAAGGGTAGACAGAACTTGCCAGCCTATCTGTACGCCTCCCATCCCTTGCTTTATAGTAGTTGCAGAGGAGACCTCCCCAGGTGTTGATCTGCTAACTCAAACTCTCCCTGATACTTGAGCTACAGAAGAGTGAGACCACTTTGGGGACAGCTGGTGTCTTCAGCTCCCTTTTGATGAGGATTTTGATCCTCACAACAGCACTCACAACAACCTCTGCTCATGGTGTGTCATTTCTATCTGGCCAGAAACACCAAATACATCTGGACAGAGAGAAAACAAGTTCAGCACCCTCACCTCACCCCCATTCCCAAGAAGCCAGCGTTATTCCAGGGGATGTTATCCTGGGCCATTTTGACCAGCACCACCTTGGGACTGAACTGGTAACCACCATGCTCTGGCTGTATCCCACACACACCCACAGCACAGGGCTTTGCTACGAGCAGCCCCATCTCCCACCTGTGCTGGGAATGGGAGCTGACTCCCCCAAGCCAGGTGTGAAGGAGGAAGAGAAGGAGGGAGGGGCAGCTCAGGTTGCAGCTGATTCATGGGAGCCAAGACCAAATAGCATTCCTACTGAATTCCTGAGAGTGCTTACATCCTGCAGTCTAGAGTCAGGTGCCCTGCATCAAACTCATCCCCTTCCAGAGAGAGCAGCATACAGGTATCAGTCAGAGGTGTGAGACCTCTTGGAGAAAGAAGCTCAGACACCAGATCCCACCAAGTTTTTCTTTCAAAGGGTTGGAGCATGTGTGCATGGAGAGGATAAGGGGAAAAAAACCCAACCCTGAGACAACTGCATTTACCAGGTGGTTAAGAAAATATAAACCAGGAAAGAAAGTCTGCAGTGAGCCCAGCTTGAGCAGACAACAGCAAAAACTGCTTGAATTTCCTTCTTCTGCCTGAGTACTTGCATGTACCTCTCTTTTGCTGGGGCCACTGACTTCCTGATTCTTCAAAGAAGATGTTGGGAAATATGAGCAGGGAAATCTGTCAGCAAAGGGCAGCTTTCTGAGGAACAGAGCATTGTGAGACCTCTCTAACAATGTCACCTCCCACCTCCTCAGCAGCTGCCCTTTTTGGGGTATGCAGGAGTTCCTACAGTGACAGATGAAAACCAAGCACTTCCTATCACTCTTTCTGCAGTGGTTTGAGGGTTAGGCCTGCAGACATCCCCAGTGCTCTCATCATTATATTGGCAGTGCCTAACTATTTTTGTATGAAAGCATGTGAAGGAATTTTTTAATAGCATGTATTTTTTAATGTAGCCATTATTGTTAAGTTGAGAAGACATTTTTAGTCCCAGCCAGGTGTTTGGAGACCAGAACCAGTACACATGAAAATGTATAGCTTTGTATTTGAAAATGGCAGGCTTGTGAGGTCAACCTGGATCTCTGTCCCTGCCAAACTTCCTGACAAGCCAGGGTGTCCAGGGGCTGTCTTGCAGGTCAAATCTGAGTCTGAACAATGCTCAGCCATGTGCTCTGTAACACAACACTGCAGAGTCTGCCAAACCTAAGATGAATCCTGGTTTCCCACTCATCTGAGAGCTGGAGAGACCACTGCCTGGCTCATGGACCTGTGTGCTGCAAACTCCAGAGATGTTAAAAAACCCTTTAGTTATCTAAGGGACATCGCAAGCCAGGCAGCAATCCAAAAAGCAAGGAACTCTTTCTTGCCTGAACACAGGCACTTGAACTCTGACTGCAACATGGAAAGTGGGTCTGCTCCAGTTGCATTGTATAAAGCAAGGCTGAACGTGTTACCCTGATCAGTGTAACAACAGCACTGACACCTTGTACATGGGCTGTCCATCCAGCCCAAGCTCTTCCCACAAGCTGGCTTTCTTCTCCTCCTTGGCAGGCAGAACCTGGCTCACTCCTGTCTCCCCTTGGGCAGGTATTATTGCAGTTACATTAGCTGGAGAAAGCAAGCCTCTTCTCTTGGGGTGAGCCCACCTCCAGTGCGCTACTGTGGTTGTGAGGAAAGCTGGACAGTCACCACCACAGGTATCAGCTGGAAAATGGTAAGTTTCCAGACAGCCTAAGGATTAACTAAGCTCAATGGGATTGCAGCACACGGGGAAGCAGAGAGTCCACAAACAGGAAAAGGGAAGGAAAAAAGGATATACTCTAGACCTAAAAACCCCCACTCTTGCCATATTTCTATGAATTATCCCTCTGCCTCCAAGTGATTGGTGCCAAAAGAGTTCATTTCTTGGTGTCCCCTTGTCTGACCTCCCTTGCAGGTGGTCCAGTATTACTGTCAGCAATGAGAGAGCAGGCAGGTGCTCCAAGGCCATGACAACAGCTGGCCAGCTGGAGAGCCAATCCTCCAACATGTCCCAGAGGAGAAGCTGTGGGAGATCGGGAGCTTTCCACTGCTTCTCATGCCTCGGAGGTGAGCTGCTGTGTTTAGCAAGAGTGGGTTGCACAGCACTGGGCACAGGTGCACAACTACAGAGGCACGAGGCAAAACTTGGCTGGTGTGCCCGAAGCAGGCTGTGCACAGAGGTGACTCACAGGCACCCGTGGGTGTGACAGTGGTGGGCAGCCTTCCTCCCAACCCCCAGAGACACAGCTGCCAGCAGCTTCTGCCTGCAGACACAAATGCATTTGGAGGTAGAGGAGCCTTCTTCTTGGGCTTGTTAAAATTAGTTTTATGACCCAAATGCATTTTCCTGGGGCTTCAAGGAAACCCCTGAGGACACTAGAGCTTCAGCTGCAACCTTTCTCCAAAACTTCCACTAAGAAGGCAGCCCGGTCCTGGAATTTCAACCTTGACCTGGTGTTCCTCAGCACATCCTAGAAACCATGCAATTTAGGTGTGACCTAAGTCTGAGGTATTCAATTATCACTACCACAGACTTTGCTCCATGCTCTAAGCAGCTTTGGAAAGGTGTTTGTTGCTCTTGTTGTACCAAAAACCCCTGTGTCCCTCCTGAGGCACATTCTTCTTACTCTTCCTGACACTCTGGTTACAAGCAGTACAAGTAGTTGTAACTTCTCCCCTCTCCTCTCCCCTCACACCCCCAAAACACTCCTTACACTCATGGGGGTCTAGCTGAGTCTGCCAGAGCCCAGGAGAAGTGGTAGCCTTCCCTCCCCCTGGTACCCCACAAGGTGCAGACAATCTATTATTTCCATGCCCGTGAAACTTTCTTGACCTCCCCTCACCTCCTTTACTCTCAGTACCTCTGAGATATCCTCAGCACAACTGTGGGAGATGAAAAGGAAGATGCTTTCTGCAGAGACTGGCTTCTGCCCTTGTGTTTTAGGTGATAACCTCATGCAGGCTTTGAAAGGACACTCTTCTGGCAACAATTCCTGGATTCAAATGGAATTTGGAGTCTGTTGTGCACCACTCACACACATGGTGCTGATCAATCTTTTGAAACCTCCACACCCTGTTTCTATAGGCTGGGACAGTATTTCAGTGACCTTACAGATGAATTCCCCCTTCTTAGCCTAGCTCTACTCCATCTCTAGCCAAAAAAGCCAATGGATAAGAATTCATTTGACATTGCCCAACACAGAACCAGGTGGCATTTTGATTGCCCTGTGTTTTGTGCTAGTTGTCAAGCACTGCGACAAAGGGACATCCCAAAACATCATTGGCTTTATACTCTTTTCCTGGAGGTTCCCCATCATGGTGGTGGGGCTTGCAGGGGCTTCACATCGCCCCTTGCTACCTCCCTTTCCCTCAGCGTCCCTGCTCAGGGCGTTGCATTCTCATGCCCTGGTGCAAGGAGGCAGAGACAAAGGATGCATTTGTTTTATGACTCATGGGCTCTGCCCGCCTTGGCTGAAGGGCTCTGCACCACTCGAGCGCAGCTGAGCAAACCCGGCTGCTCCGCAGCACAATCCTGGTCCCTGCCCGCACAGCCCTGCGGGGCAGAAGCCTGGGCACCACCCCTCCTGTCCAAGCCCAGCTGGAGAGCATGTCTCTACAGGCAGGAGCAAGATGCCCGGGCTAGCCCTGGGGTGTGATGGAGGGAAGTCATCCAGGTGGAACTGCTGCCGGAGGGGATGTGCCAAGGCCACTGCCAGTGCCAAGGGAAGCCTCTGGGAGCCCCAGACCTGCCCACACTCAGACCTCCTGTGGACCCTGATGCATCAGCAATAAACTTACTTTTGGGGTTTTTTAAAATTGGTTATGATGGAAAATTTGTCCCCTAAGGGGCTTAAAAAGAAGGTATTTTCCAAGTGCTTGGGACACCTTGAGAATGACACAGTTTTTAAGAGGAAGTAATTTAATACGTTAATGATGAATTGCTTGAACTCCACTGTAAGAAGCTGAATGCTTTACAAATGTCAGTTCATCATTTGTTTACTCATTTCAAAGCAAACATCTCCAGTGGACACAAACTCACACACTCCTCCTGCCCTGCTGGACTCTCCCCAGTGCTCCACCTCTGACAGAAAACTTCTTGTGTGCTAGGAGTCAACCATACTCAGACATGGAAGAGGCAGACAATTATTTTGTGCTACCAGAGGAGAAAAATAAAGCAAAAACATAGCTCAGCATCAAGCAGGGGTCACAGACTAATTAAGTTTCCTTTCGAAGAGATTGCTATGAAATGAAGCCTGTGTGAACAGTGGTGTGGCTGGTAAATCATCATCAAGCATAATTACCTCGTAAGTAGAGCTGGGAGGTACGTTTTTCCTCTCTCCTTTATTAATTCAGCACAGCCAAAACAAGCAGGTTTTTTTAACTTTCCTATTTTCACAAGTGAGGGGGAACTACAAGATTCATCTTCCTCTACAAAAATTTTTCCTTTTTTTTTCTTTTAACACTCAGATTTACAACAGATTTAATTTTTCCATTCCCTTCTCCCCAGTCTTTAGGAGAAAAAATATGAAACAAATTAAAATAGCCATAGAGAAGACACAGCCTGAGGTAAGAAAAATGAAATACTTAATAATTTCATGCAGTTAACCTTAGCCAGGTACCAGACTCCCACATACCAAACACAGTCCAGGGACTAAAATAAAAAAAACATTGAACATAAGACCTGTCTTTTCTCTTAATAGACACTTCTGGCTCACATGCCTCTTTAAGAGGAAGACCATGACCAAAGCAAGGCACTCACCGCTCTCTTCTCGTGATGCTTCTCAGCAGAAATCCCAACCCACCTGCAAAGCTGAAAAGGCCCCTTTCTCCCACCTCCGCTGCTCTTTAAAGAGCCCAGTTTGCTGAAGAGCGTGCTGTGTGATTGGTGGGGTGCCCATCACATGAGGAAAACTTTTTTTTTCTAGCCAAACCTGTTCCCCGGTCCTCCTGGAACCAAAGGGTGTCTCTGTGATTCTTAGATCATATCGGAATGCTGTTGTGCTGAAAACACAAAGCTTTAAAGAATTTCTATTATTATACTCTCAAAAGGGTGGATGAGTGAGTCACTCATATGAGGCACTTGAACTTTAAAGAGTATGGGCAAGTTGGAAGGACGTAAATATACGAGGATTGCTGGATCACTGTTTGAATATAGGTATAAAAAGAATGCACTGAACAGAAAAATAAAGCAAATTAATTTTAATGTTTTCATTTAATTATGTAGCATGGGAAAGATCCAGTTGTTTGGGTTGGATCCATTTTCGTTTCATTCAGCTTGGGATTTTTTTTGGAAACAGAAGTGTAAGTGTTGGCTACTCTGCAGGACACTGTGGATGACATGAAAAGTGGGGAGAATATTTCATTTCCTTGGGCACTCTGGATTTTTCATGTAGTCAGTCCTATTAAGACATAGCAAAATCAATAACAGATATATGTATTAATTGGCCTGTGATGAACTGAGAACAGCTAAGGCTGAGGAGCACAAGAATGTGAAAAAAAGGAATGTCTCTCACCTTCCCCTCTCACCGTCATTCCAGCACAAGTTTGCCAAAAGTCAAGATTCACATTACTGGTGCCTTGAACATGTCTCTGGCAAAAGCACAGGTGGTTGTACTTGTAGTTCTTTATCTGCTGATGCAAAAACCAGCCAAATAAATAACAGGCTTGGGAAGGGTAATGGGAGTTCCATGATGTTAGAGCTCAACACAAGTCAAAAAGCAAGAACAAAAATAACCTGTATATGTCCTATCTGTGGCCATCCTGGCAAATATTTTGTGTGAAATTAGTGAGCAATGGTTCTAAAGTCTTATGGATGCTTGGTACTTGTAGACAACTGAAGAGAGATGCTGCTCTCCCATGAGGTCTGTGTGAGATTTAACTCTGAACAAAGGACAGTACTTTTGGCATTTCCAGTTCCATGAGGCACCACAGCCATAAGCAAAAGGAGACACAGCCATTGTAGCCAGCCTGATCTAGTAGAAAGGGACATGAACATAGTCCCTCGGGTCCTCAAGAATACAGATGCAGATTTGTCTAGACTTAAATGACTCAGACCTCTTTGCCCACTAATTTTGCTCCCTACAACCCATGCTTTCTATTTTGATGCAGTTGCTGCGCCATATTTTGGCAATGCTGGTGGGACCAGGTGTTTCACACCAGCTGGTGTCCTGGGCTCTAGGAAGGCAGGCTCACATCATTGTTGTTGGACACTGAGAGCAGCTGGCAGGGGAAAAAGCAGTGCATTCTGCAGCACTCTTGAGCATCACAGTTGGGCTGATCTTGGGGCAGTGATTAGACAAAAGCCTGCCATGGTAAAACACCCCATCACATCTCAGCTGGGAGGAGAAAAGAGGCTGCAACTGTGGAAATAATGTCTTGAGAAAATAAGACGAGGAAAGAGAGGAGAGGGAAGGGGAAGCTGGCAGTGAAGTTCACAGTCTTGCAAATCACCAGCACTGAAAGTAGCTGCTGGGAGAGAACCCAGGTGCAGCTAAGTTCTTGCAGCTCTGTAGCCCTGTCCAGTACACTGCAAAAAGCTGTTAGAGTGAACCCTTGTTTGGGCTGGAAGAGTGGGTCAGGCTGGACTGGGTGGTGGTCACCCTTCAGGTGCCATCACCATTTGGCTCTCACAGTTTGTTAATCTGGTTTAAAATCTGGGTAAGAATATTTTTTATGATCTCTGGAGAGAAATTTGATATAGGAAAGGAGAGGCTTGGGATGAGGGTTTTGTTTGTTTCTTTGCACTTCTTTTGGCGTGTGCCAACAAGATCAGACTATGAGTTTACATGAATGCCTGTTCAGAGCAGAGGGTCAAAGAGAGGCCTTGTCTGGGGAGGGAGCACAGTGGGGCTGACAAGCCAGGGCTGGGAAGCCCCCGTTCTCACAGGGGTATCTCCAGTGGGGTGCCTGCAGCTGCTAAAGCCTCCTCTGTAGGACTGTGTCTGTGCTGGCCTACTTCAGATGGAACAACACTTCTATACAGCCAGATCCATAGATTTGTGCAAGCTCTTGCACTTGGGAAGGCTCCAGACTGCTGAGTGTGCACACGCTGCACAGGACCATACGTGTGTATGTGCACAGGTACAAACCCATACACGTGTTTTTGTGTGTGCTTTGTGTATCCAGTCACAGGTCCACAGATGTGCACACCTCTGCTGCAAGTAAGTTAAAGGCAAAGTGGAAATTGGGAGTGAAGACATGCTGACGTTTGGGGTTCCATCTGTAGGGATGGTCAGATGTTGGGGCCACAGCCTGGCCTATTTTCAGATGGAGGTGGAAAATGGATTTCTCAGGAGATCTATCACTTGGTTATTGTAATGGGCTCAGTGGGTGACAGGGCAAAGTTAGAACATGTCTGTCACAAAGTATGCTGTGTTTATTCAAAATTGGTGTGGAAGGCATGCTAGAGGATGCCCAAAGCTGCTGAGAAGGGCTGATTAGATGTTGTGGTTAGTTCCAGTATGCTGGTTCCACTCTTCACCTCTAAGAATACTTTCCTGCATTCCTGAATCCTTTGAATTTCTTCTCTTCATAGCATGGAAATAATGATTTAAGGCTGAGATATTATGAGAGGGAGGAATTAGGGAGGGAGTGAGCACACAGAGAGGAAAAGGAGCTTGTGTTCAAAGTAGCAGACTCCCAGGAGTCATCTCTGTGACCCCCTCATATCAGTGTCATGATGGAGCCACTGCCATCCGTGAGCAGGAGGCTCCTGACTGCATTTGCAGTGTTGCACAGTAAGATCAAAGCTCACAGTTGAGGAACCGGGCTTGGGAAATCCCTTGTCCCTACCAATGTGGCTTCAGTGTTGGCCAAGCCCGTGCTCCCATGCACAGGTTCAGCTTTACACACTGTCTGTTTGTCCCAGGGAGGGGACTTTTAAAACGATTATCCCTCCAGCATATGGTGGCAAGTTCATGGCAGCACTGCTGGGAGTAAAGCCAAGCATCCCTGTTGCAGCATGCTGCAGAGGGGCTGCTGATGAGTGGAGGGGCTGCCACCTTTCCTGGTAGAGTCCCTACCTCATTAGCTGAGTCAGCAACCTCCTTCTTGAGGGCACTGCTCCCAGTAGCCCCAGCCCCAATTCCTGCCACCCAGCTTTGCTCCTGCATTCCCGGGAGGGCTGTGAACAGCTGCTTCCCAGTCCGCAGTTTGACCTTCCTTCCCTGGGCCAGATTTGGGTTTGAGGCATGTGTCTGCCACCCCAGGCCTCCACGTGCCATGGCTGGGAGCCAGATCCTCCTCGGAGTAGAAGGGAATTCCTAATGGCTACCTCCTCTCCCATCTCAGTGCATCCACCCAGGGGGTGAGGATGCAGGCAGTGGGGGACAGATGTCCACTGTGCCTCTTGGGTTTGCAGCTGGCCTGGCCTCCTGCCAGCCTTGCATCCCGCCTCCCCAGTTGAGCTGTGTCTTTTGCTACAGCTGCCTCCCCCTTTTGGCATAATTGTTGCCCTTTTTTGCCACTTCTATACCTCACAACCTCAAGAGAGAGGAATAACTGTGGGGTGCAGAGAATACATAAGTGAACACCACCTAGTGAGATCAGGGGAGTGCAACTCTGTCTCTGAAATTGTTTACCAAACAGTGCTGAGTGTGGGGAGACAAATGGCATACCATGAGCAACAACCATGGGCTAATTATAGTGGGTTAGGATAAACCACCGGGTCACTGGGCTGGCCACCCCAGCTAAACCTGCAAACATACAGGCTGAAAAGCAGAACTGCGTATATACATATTTAGTATGATGTGGAATGCAGTCAGTAACTTCTGTCTGAAACCTCAGCTACCTTGGTGAAGAGCGTTACAGAGAACACAGATACAAGCAATGCTGGCAATGCTGGGGTTTTGCATTTAGCAATGAATATGGTATTGCACTCTTCATTCCTAAGAAGAGTACTTATAGGGCACACTCTCAAGGACTGGGTTTTTTTAATATTTTGGGTTAGGAGAGTGAGGCACCTTATCTTTCCAATTTTGTAGGGTAGCTTTATTAATGAGCTTATAACCACGTCTGTATTTTGGTATCATTAAAACTTGCAATTTTGGGTAGTTGCATAAAGCCCAAGCTACTGCAATCATGAGATTGCTTGAAAATTTGTACTTTCAGCATTTCAGAAGAGAATGTTTCTCCTGAATGTCAGCAAGCAGAAAGGACAAACAACTCGGAGAAAGACGCTCTGTCTGGTAAAGAACTGAGGTCAGGCAGGGAACTGCTTCCCCTGGGAGATCTGGGCTAGTATTCATAGTGATATTTGCACGTGTGGTAAAGGCAATAACAAATTAAATCTCAGTACTCTGCTGCTAACAATTATACCAATTGCTCTTGCTCCCTTCCTCAGTGGTCTCAAACCAAGAGAATAGAGAAGTAGTGGATTCTTGTAAAGATTAATCTATATTGGCTGCTACTACTGTTAATAAAGGAGACCCTCAGGGTGCCTTCTTGTACTCACTGAGGGCTCTAAATTGTACTCATTTGGGCTCTAAATCTCACCCTAAGAATGTCTCTTACTCTGCTGACTATGAAGGGAATTTGTAGGAGAGCCTCAACACATGCCCAAGGCCAATTTCTGCAAAGAAAAATCCAGACCAAAGAATCTGCATCTTAGAGCGGCTGATCTCATCCAGGTCTTTCAGCAACCGACAGGTCACATTTTTGTATACACAAGAACTATTAGATAAAATAAACATGGAGGAGCATGGGAGAGTGCAGAGGTCAAGCTCTGCCCTGACTCCCCGACCACCAGCAGGAGTTTCTCCTGGCAGGGAAGGGGAGCCAAGCCCAAGAGTGACGCTCCACGGCCAACACCCTTGAGGGCACAAAG